GGCTCATCTAGGATTTAGCAATAGCCTCCTGCCTCTGCCTTGCTGGTATAAGATAAATTTTTGTGGTAGGCACCATTATCCTTCCCTTACTTCAAGTAAAGTAGGACTAAGAGAAATTAAATAGCATAGAGTTATCCAGCTCTATGACAGAGCCAAGATTATAGCACAGAGACCATGTCTGCCTAAAACTAAGGTAAACAATTCTAACTTCAGAGTGTATATAAGACCAGCCATATTTTAAATTTAAGATTCAATCATAGTTTAAAATGACCTTCAAGCAGGCTGTTCTATAAGGAGAAAATCCACTTTCCAAAATAGTAAGTTTGTTAACTTGATACTCGCATACATACGCATAGAAAATTCAAGTATTTAAGTTAGAGTCGTTGTTCGTATTTAAAGCATTGCCTTCTGATTATAACTGTTTGGCTAATTATACAAAAACAGCAGATTTTACAAGATTCCACACCACACACATACAGGTCATTAGTGGGTGCAACTGCAGTTCCCATCTCTCCAAAGTTAACACTACCAACAAGTGTTAAGTCTAGTACTCTAAAGATGTCCACAAATGTCCTAATGCTAACTGTTTCAATAGAAGAGTGTGCCTGACTACTCTGAACAAAATTAAAACTTCCCAGGCAAAATCAGTTCATTCCTTAAACAAGTTTACTCTGGTATTAATGTTCCTCTAAGAAACAGGCTTTTTGTTCCGGTACAAATTATTTTAGAAGCTGAAACTGCTATAGCACGTCTTCTGCAACCATAGCAGAGAATACAAAATGAGGTGAGACAACCAACCCAGGATCCTAAGTTCATTTCTGCCAATACCTTCAGCACGAGAACCAGCATCCCACTTCAAGACACTTTTAAGCACCTAACCAAGAAAGCTATAGTAGCAAGGCCTATAAAAAAGGATCAGCAAATCCTTACTAACATAAAGCTATTTCATCTATAGTCAACATCACTGATATCTCAAACAGCAACTGCATCAATTTCAAAACTACCAGAGACAAAGCAACTACAAAAAACTGAATATTTATAGAAATCACTTCTGATATAACCACACTAAGTGTCATACCTAAATCATAATCTTTGGAACAAATCCTGTAACTTTTCTTTTTTTTTTTTTTTTTTTTTTCCTGTAACTTTTCTTAAGAGTGGATCACAAAACCAACTCTCCAATGTTGGTTCTGAAAATCAAGTTTATCTACAGGGAGAAGAAAAGGGAACAAAACCCCAGTCACCAGCTCTCTGAAGTCAAACTTCTGTTTTATATAAGACCCAATAGTTTGTCATGGAAAAACAAAAAAATGTGATCAAGTAAACTTCTTTAACTGTATTAATAACTAACACTGTCTCATGGAACAGAATACTTCTAAGACGGAATAGGCCTACAGAAATGAAAACCTGACCTACATACTCAGAATTCTAAACTTATCCTTGCCAACTCTGAATTTACATATAGATCAATATAAAAACACTACCTACACTTGGGGCTTACTAAAAACAGAGACAAAATAAAATATTGAAAACTGAGAATTTACTAAAATGAATGTTCAAACTTTCTAGTTTTTCCTACATGTACAATTTTGTAATCAAGTCATCAAAGTGACTATTTTAGAAGTGGCTTAAAAATTGTTTAAATGGCCAGGTGGTGGTGGTGCATGCCTTTAATCCCAGCACTTGGGAGACTGAGGCAGGCAGATTTCTGAGTTCGAGGCCAGCCTGGTCTACAGAGTGAGTTCCAGACTGCCAGGGCTATACAGAGAAGCCCTGTCTCAAAAAAAAAAGACAAATTTCATGATGTAACATTTGAAAATAAGAATTGAATTCATTTCCAGGAGGTACACTATTTCATAATACTTAGGTACACATTTTATGTAATTATGACAAATTAGATATAATGTTCCACACAAAAATGAAAATACACTATCTGCCTTTCTCCTGTTACTAAAATAAAAATTCTAAAAGCCATAACTCTCTACTTTCTAAATCTATGTCTAAAATTAATCAGATTATATCATCATATTTAACTTGAATCATTTAATCTTTATTTAATATTTTATAAGGAATCTCAGTCTACATCACTCTATTGCTGTGTAAACTTCTAAAATTGACAGAAATTAAATTTCTTTTCCTTATATTGAATTATATATAACTGAAAATTACTCCTTTTGATGCACTTTACTCTTCTTTAGTAAATTTTAGGGAAAATGAAATTTGCAACTTATTATACTAGTCGTGTTTTTCAGGAAAGACACAAATGACTATAAAAAAGGCAAGATGAAGATTGTAGAGTCTTTTAAAAAGAAAAACTATAATTACTTGCAATAATCACTTGCCTTTAACAAAACAGCTAATATCAATAATCACTATTCTCACTACAAGGTATTAATATTCCTGTGATCAGTATTTGAAAAGTATATCTACCAAACAAAAAAGCTGTACCAGAAGCCTGAGCCTTCCACGTGCTTTAAAGACATTAATTCTTGCTGTCTCACATTCAGCCTATTTTCCAGACTGTTAGGAATAATATCCAACCAACAAATTCCTACAGTAATTCAATTTTGCCTTCAGCAAATGAAAATATTCAACTTACTACTTTCATAATTGAGTTTAACTTGGCCAATCCCTTTGCCAACACTGAACAGCACAAATCTTCAATGACCATTTTGATCCCTGCCCCCAAACACAGAAAACCCTGATGAGGAACCAAGCAAGCCCTCTGGCTTATCAAAACTAATGGGAGCACATCTCTCAGAAGAGCAAGGTCTTCATTGACTTTTCCCCTACTGACTCGTTTTTCACATCAACCTTTGGCTTGATCAAACCACAGCTCTAGAAATTAAGTGTTATTAGTCATTCGATGCAATATTTGATACTGCTTTCTATGTATACCATAACTAAAGTACAGGTTTGGATTTCTAAGCCACATAAATTGCACGTGCAGAAGTCCATGCTCTACAAAATCAAATAAGGAACTGCAATCACGTCACTGCTCATACAAAAAAAAAATACAAAATAATCTTGAAGTCCTTTGGGAAAAGCAAAGCAGAAGTGTACTTTGGATGATACAGGAAGTCTGCCTACCAGGCATTCTAGATTTTTCTTTGAATGTGCGTTTTTTTTTAATTAAATAGATACCTGATTAATTCCTTCTAGATCAAGATTACTAATATTAATTCACATCAACAATAAACTGCCTTGAAGGAAGTGACAAATCAGAATTTTCTCCAATTATCTTTCAGAAGGGTCAAGTTCATCCTGAGTAAAGCTTTTCAATTAATGCCGACTCAAAAATTAAAGATTCCTTTCAAATTGTATTTTTAGCTTGAAAGAAAATTAGCCTGTGTGAAGCTTCAGTGAGTTTCATCATCATTTCAGAACAAAAACTCAATCAAAATTAGCTATGCATTTTATATGCCACTAATGCATCAAACCTCCTCCAAATGAAAATTGTTCTTCAATAAATAAATAAATAAATAAATAAAGCAAACTCTCCATAATGATCTATTAGCAGGACATGTATAGACAAGTTGCTGGTGCCTTTATACCTTAAGAAAATGTCTAATATTAACTAAGAAGTAACTTTTACAAAGAATATCTTATCACCAATTATGAAATTACATAATTTTAACTAAATACTGTTCACTGCTACAAGTCACGTAACAAAATTTTGGGTTGTAACAAAGGCCCAACCATTTAAAGGCTCAGTCATTCAGACTTGCAACTTGTTTTTTCGCACACCTTACACACTGGCCTCCCCAAAGCTCTCAATTTCTGTCAATACTTCCCACTCTGCAAAAAAGGAGGGCTCTCTTTCCTACCCCGATCATAAACAGTACCATACCTGAAACTGCAAAGATAAATGCTTTAAACCACGAACTTTTGAAGTACAAAGACCTAACTTTTAGACAATCAGAACTATACACCGTTAAAATTCTTGGGTTTCTGTCTTATTCAACAAGCTGACTCAGTGAATTACTGCATGCAGAGAGCTAGCATACCTACAAACTGGACCCAGCGATTCATTCTTGCCAGTATGCCTGGATATTAGATGGCTAAATTATACTTGACATTCTACACAAATCAGGGTAAAACCCACAGATAAGTCAACAGGTCAGAGCACCTGAAACAAAAATTACGAGCAGCAAATTCATGCTGCTACTTAAATTTCATGTGAGAGCTGAGTTTAACCTCTGCAGTCATTTGCCATACACAGCATCCCTGAACTCACACAGACATCATCATCTGGAATCAAAAACTATTCGATCTCCGTTCTATCATATATGGCAAGGCCAAATGAACGGAACATACCACCGAAATGCAAATTGCATATCCTATCCCACGCCTCATCAGGAAAGAGTCTAATTTAACAAAGTTCTATTAAAATCCAATAATATATATTCTGGCACTATTGATTTCAAACTACAAAACTTCCAAATGCAACTCCAAAGTTGTAATTACCTCAGTTTAAACACACAAACCTACTTCTACCCTCAAATGTGGCATTGTCTATGCTGAAGATGACTATGCTTATAAAGTTATGCAAACCAGTCCACAAGTCACATTTTAGAAAAAAATCTTCCAATGCAACCCAGGAAACTAAAAACAATCACTGCAAGATTCTGAGGTAATATGCCTACGTGCAGCACGGACTTTCATTTTAATCTGATCTACACCCAAGATCTAGGGCCTAAGTCACGATCTAATCGAAATATGCACAACCCCAAAGCGTCTAGTTTTTCTTTTTTTTTTTAGTTCATTTAGAAGGCTGGATTGACGAGCTCGCTAATCCAGTGTACAGTACTCTGCATTAACGGACAATAGATTTTAAGAAGGGACCACAGACCTCGACAAGAAACCAATCCGTGCCTTGACACTTGCAAGCTGGCAGGAGTTCCGTCTAGCCGAACACTCCCTATGTTGAATACACTGGAAGAGACACAATATACTCGATCTAGAAACGCGACCAGTATTAAACGTTATAGTCACCCCAACTACAGAAAATTTTCGCATCCTTCTACTCCCACGTTATCAGAGTGACAGAAAAGCAAAGAGGAACAGCCACAGAAATGGATACAGGTCAAGTCTAAGTCGAATCCATCCTCTTGATATCTCCTTTTGTTTCTGCTAACGATCTCTTTGATGATGGCTGTCATGTCTGGGAGCCTGTGGCTGAAGAAAAAGGAGGAGAGAGATGGCAGAAGCTGCTGGTGGCGAGGCTTCTTCTGCAGGATGGAAATGGCTCTGGACTTGGCGGTCGCTGATGCCCCTCGCTCTGCTGCCGCTTGGCCCTGGACCGCAGCCGGGTAATGGCTGCTGCGGCGGCTGCTGGATGGTTGCAGCGACTGGGCCTGCTTCTCCTCAGCAGCGAGAGGCCTGGCAGCCGAGGCAGCGGAATGGGGAGAAGACGGATAATCCTCGCAGCGGCTGCCTCCTCCGGCGGCCTCCGGAGCCCGGGCCAGGGGGGGTGCGGCGGCGGCGGACGGGAGGCTTAACACCGGCCCGGGTCCCTGGACGTGCCGCCGCCGCCGCCGCCGTGTTGGAGGCAGGAGAAGGGGAGAGAGCAACTCTCCGGCGTTCCCAGCCCTGGCAATGGTGACAGGCGACTCCGACCCCCTCCCCGGAGCCGCGGCCGCCGCCGCCGCTTCTCCCCCCCGCTCCAGGAGCGGGAGGTGCAGCCGCCGAGCCTGCGCCGGCTCCCGCCCGAGCCCACGGCTTCCACCGTCTCTCTCCGAAGCTGCTCAGGGGCTGCCCGGTTAGAACAGACGACGAGGAGGCGAGGCCCGCCGCCGCTGCCGCCGCCGCCGCCCGGCCGGCTCCCCGAGGGCACTGCCCCCGCGGCTGCTCACAGGCGCTGAGAGGGGCTCTGGGCCGCGGCCGCCGCCGTCTCTCATCTCCCTCGCCTGCGCCGGGCCTGGCCTCACAGCGGCTCAACTCTCAAACTTCCATCATGGCTGCAGCTTCCGAGAGGAGAGAGCTGAGCGCAGCCGCGTCCCGACGCCCAAGCGCGTATCCTGCCGCAGTGCACAAAGAGTCCCGCCACATCACCGTGCGCCGGCCAGCCCGCCCCCTCCGCCGCCCCGCCGGGAGAGCCGGGCGCCTCCGAAGCCGGAGGGGAGGCGGGAGGCGGGCGCCGAGCCGGGGGCGGGGCGGGGAGGGGCGGGGCTTCGGCGGGACAGGGGCGGGGAGCGCCGCGGAGCATGCCCAGTGTGGCCGCGGCTCGCTCCGGGAGCTGCGCCGGCTTCGGCCTTCTGCACAGAGAGACCCGGTAAAGGTAGGACAGGCTGTGGCCGAGTGACGGTGCGCTGAGCACGCTCGCTGACCGCTCACAGGTGGATCGGACTAGCTGACCGCGTTGGTCAGTGCCCTAGGAGCCTCAGGGGCAGGATCACCCCTTCCTGCGTCCGACCGTGGGTTTTTTCGGGGCGGCTTGCATTCCCTGCCCTGCGCTGTGTGCAGATTGCAGTGCTTCGCCAGGATTTGTCGGCGACAGTCTTTACCTAGATAGCGCACCTCTCCCCCACGGTGTCCTCAAGGTGTCAGTCTTTGCACAAAGAACAACCCCCTATTGTGTCTCCCGCGTGGGTCACCTCATCGGACTCCGGTTCCCTGCCCCGCCTCTCGCTTCCCAGGCAGCTGGGTTCATTTGCCCGAAAGATGAACGTTCCCAGCCAAGCATGATGATTGTGCATACGGGGCGTGTACATTCACCTCTCCCCTGAGTTTCCAGGGCCCAAAGGACACCCTTGGGTGGACAAAGTGGATCTCCATGAATAGAGTGCACCTCACACACACCCCTCTCCACCGCCCGGTGTTGAGCCCAGCAGCTCCCCGCAGCGGGGGGGGGGTCCACCGCGGATCACAGTCAAGCTCCGTCTTCCGAGAGCTAAGCCGCCCCTCCCCTTCGTGGCCGCTATGAAAACCCGGTAGAATTGGATCGCGGTGGACAGGACCTGGTCCTGTCGGGCCGTGCACGTTCGCGGACCCGGTTACTGAGCCCGGGTGTGGAGTATAGGACGGTCGGAAGCTGCAGCCAGCGAGTGGGCGGGGCGAGCAGGCCTGGGAGGGCTCAAAGGCGAGGTGGAAGGATACATGAGCCGCGGTCGGAACTACTTTCAGGAGGAGGTCACGTGTGGTCCTAGTTGGGGAACTTTCCAAATTCCCATTCCCCTATCTGTGTGCTCCTGAGGTAGGAGCTTAGTCCCCTCTGCTCTATTAGATGATCTTCCCCGCCCCCCTCTCCCGTGTGAGCTGCTGGACCCCTCTCTTCCCGGGTCGGAGCGGAGAATAACACCCACGAGCCGTCCGCAGGAGCGCTGTCGGGGCCAAGCGCCTGGGGAGCTGGTTACACAAGCAGCCACATCCAAGCACGTGCCCCCGCCACCCCTCTCTGCTGGCCGCCGCCGGTTTGTGCACGCTGACGCGGAGAGTCCCCAAGCTGTTCCTCCCTTTCGCTTGTAACCCATAGAGCTAGCCAGAAGGCCGGGACACGAGAGTCCTGATCTGGATCTGCCCACACCGCGTGTTCCCACCCGTGGGAGAAGAGGCCGGGCGCTAGTGGGGGGTCGACGCGTCGCCTTCGCTTAATAAGGTGAACCCTTTCTAGATCTGTGCTCGCGGGGCAAAAGGGTATCTCCTGTTGCTGCTGGCTGCTTGGGCTTACTGATGTTGCAACAAACTTCCAGTCACTGCCCCTGAACTGGTGAGCGCGCCCCACCTACCGTAGACTCAGCCAAGTGACTTATCTGAGCACCTAGTCAATGGCTGTCAGCCCAGAACAAACCTGTCAAGTAAAAGCTTACTAGGGGATTGGCTGACCTGTCGCGGTTGAGAGAGCTGGTTCAGAAATGCTGATAACTAAGCGTACAGCCCCTCCTCCCCCCACCAGCCAGCCACAAAGCTAGCGATCACCTTGAGCTTGGAGAAAAATGACATCAACTCCAATGTAGGTAGGGATTTCTTCCTTATTGTTCTTTTCCCAGGGGACTTAGTTCTCAGGGTGACAATCTGAGTCCTAAAGGATCTCTTACTTGAGACCTAAGATGAAGCACGGGGTCATTTTAGAAATTTGGAGAATAGTAGTCAATTATCGTGGATTTGCAATAATTGCGAATAGGTGTCTAGGAAAGGCCAGCTGAGGGTTTATGAAGTATAAGAGAAAGAAAATTTCGTATGTCCGCAGCATATTTGCAGACAGCCCCTGAAGCCTAGAAACCTCGAGAGGCCTGGCTCAGAGAGCTAAGGGCCATTACCTAACTGCAGGACTGCTAATTAAACCGAGGATATTTACAGTTCTATTAGAGCTCTCTGAAGCTACTCAAACCTTGCATTTAGATGCATCCTTTAAAGATCTCTCTGCAGGAGTTAGCAGCCCAAGCTAAGGAAGCCTTGATGTTTATTGCAGGCTGGTTTTGGGGCAAGGTTCTGGTCAGTTGATGGAGTGGCCAATGAGAGCAATCTGAAAACAATAGACTAGAGGCCTCTACTCAGTTTCCAAAGATGTAAATAATTTTGGCTCACACAGCCTAATCTAAGATGGAGATCTATTTTACACAGAATCCCCAATGTCAAAGTGTTAGCTGAGATGCATGGTAAAACCTAAGTTGTGCTCAGTAGAGTGTCTACTACTGCTGGGTGAGGAAAATAATGAAGTTACAAGAGAAGCAGATTGAAGAAGGGAAAATGGTCCACATTTGTTCCTGTCCCCAGAGTCTCTGTTACTAGCATCACCCTTTTTTGCCTTTTCCCTTGAGGCATCTTGTGTGGCATTACTCTTGAGTGTCTAAGAAGCTCCGAGATCTTCCTCTAAAGAAAAAGAAAGACATTCATCCCTAAGCTTCCTGATGCCTAGCTGGAGGAAAGGGATCCCTTTCTGCTTCCAGAGCATCACTCCAGAGCACAGGGATGCATATCACCGTGCTGAAGTCCTGGACCGTGACCCCAGTCCACAATCACCACCAAGTGAGGGAAGAAAGCTGAAAACCAGCTAGCTGCTACCCTGAGCATCAGGCTCAGCTACTCTCCAGTGGCGAATGAACAGACACGCAGTGCTGGCAGGTGTGTGGCCCCTCTGACATCAGCTGACCACGCTGACAACATCAGGGCTTGTTGGGAATTTCTAAATAAACTCCCACTTCCTTTCACAGCATTAAATATGTTTCTGCGCAGCCTTTTAATTTTTTTTTTTTTTTTGGAGTTTTTGCACATCTTTACTCCACTCAAAGGATGCAAATAGGGCAGGAGGGAAAAAGTCCAGATAACAATAAAAAATATTTTAAGTGTGTGTGTGTGTGTGTGTGTGTGTGAAAATGTATCCACTTGGCTGTACAGATATTACAATACACTGATTTCCAAGTGCTTCATTTCCTCACCTGTCTGGATTCAAAACACCAAGGGAGAAACAGAAGCTTATAACAAAGGGAGAATTATGTAAAGCTCCAGGGAGACTGACAATATAGAATAATTAGGGAGTATGATAAACCAGCTTTAATTATAGTTTCTAACAGCTGATTCCAGAACTGTATTGTTACTACATGCAAAATATGTCCGAAGAAAATTCTTTCTTGGTTTCTTTGATAAGTGTGACACCAAAAACGGGATGTGGATAATATAAATAGTTGATATGTTGTTGTAGGCTCTGCAAAAGCATCCTGTGTGTGAGCACGCCGCTGCTGTAGTGCCTTTCTCCTTCCCCACATCTCTGACCCTTCAACAAGAGAGCTCAGTCTAGTGCTTTAATTTTTAAGCAAGCGTCTCTATTTTTAATCAAAAAGCATTTTCTAGATAGTAGAATGTAATGGGTTAGATAACATACTCGGCTTTGAATTTAAACTGCCCCGTTCTTCCACAGTTCTGAAGGCTTTCCTCTTATTTATTCTGTTATTTGTTCTCTTAGTTTTTGTTTTTAACTTACATCTATTTGTTGTTTGTGCAAGCACATGGTGGCACATGTGCACAGGTCATGGCACATTTGTGCATATCAGAGGACACCTTGGAAGAGTCTGTTCTCTCCTTTCACCCCGTAGCTTATGGGGATCCAAAGCAGGTTGTCCAGTTTGATGGCACACATCTTTACCACTGAGCCATCTTACAACCCTATGATTATTTTTTTAAACACAGTTTGTTCGTGCTTTCTCCAGAAGGCATCTCTGTGAGTCGTACAAGTCCTGTATTCCGAGAGAAAATTTCAAATGACTGTCTATGTAAGTTTCCCATACCCTAAACCTCTCCCAAAGCTTTTGCAAATGGTACTCTGTCACCTTTCCTGTCTCGAGAGCTATTCTGTATGAAATCATTAGTCTTTGACAAATAGAGACTGAACTGAGTGTTCCCATGGGCTCTGCTGTGTCCATGTGGTACTCAGGAGTTGTCACTCAGGGAGTGACACGAAACAATTTTATTTCTGTTCACTTTGACTGCTGGATCTTCGACTTTGGTCTTAACTCCAGCTCTAGCCCGAAGGAACATAGTTTGCTGTTTCAACACTTCTAATAAAAGAAACTAAATGTTTTCAGAGTAGCCCACATGTGTCTAGGTTTAGGAGTGCCATTGAAATGAAATCAAGATGGACAGTACTTCTAGATAATCTACTTTAGAGGAAGGAGTACCTTTTGGGAAAAGAAAACAGACCAAATCTGCTTAAATTAACCTCATGATGACTCGGCCAGTATTGCCGTTCTTGTAATGAATCAGTCAACAAACGTTTGTGACTGTTATGTGCTCCTTCCCTTCCGCCTTATGCATAGAGCAATGACTGGCCAGCTGGGTCCACATTCATTATGATGAGTCAGCTCTGGGAACTTGAATCCTTAGGCTGTTGCAGCCTCTCCACAGCACACAAAGTCAACTTAACCATGCTGGTGGGTGATAACTAATTCAGTTACCTATACCTTCACAACAAACCACAGTCAAATCCAAGGGCTTGAAGCAACCATCCATCCGTTGCTTTCCCACAATCCTCAGGGAAAGGTATGGCTGAGCAATTGTTTTCCCCACAGATGTGATCAAGGGACAGACCTGGTCTATTCAGCTGTGAGTTTGGCTGCCTCTGGAATGTCCAAAGTAGTTTCATCTATATGCTCAGGAACTCAGCTGGAACAGCCAAAATGACTGAGGGCCTCCCTGTCTTCATGTGGTTGTTCCAAAACTGAGCCCATAACTTGGCTGTCACAAAGAGTGGAGGTACAGTTTGTACTTATCCAGCCATCTGGGAATATATTTCAAGGACATGTGATATAGTCCACCCCTGATACCATTTCTTACACTAAGACTCTGGATAACTAAAGAGACACTCTTGGGCCCCTATAGTTTCTTGAAAAACTCATGTTTGTTTTGGAGCCAAGTTCTTATATATCCCAGGCTGGCCTTGAACTCACTGTAGCAGACAGTGATCTTGAACTTCTGAGTCTCCTGCCTCCACATCCAGAGAGGGTACCTGCATTTAAAGGATGGAGAAACAGGTATTGGTGGCCACGTTCCACAATGGTCATAATTCTCTTCCTAAAACATAACTTTCCATAGTCTTTTTCTCAGTTCAAGTCTGCCAAGAATTGCCGTCATCAAAGAACCATCACTGTCAGTTGACTATTTGATTAGCCACTGAATATTTTCAATTTTTTTTTATTTTGTTCCTCAATCTGATCATTTCTTAATACGTTGCTTAATTTTACCCTAGGATTAATATATTTCTCAAAGTATTCATTAAAATTCAATAAAATAAAACTAAGACATAGATAAATATTTCATCCAAATACAAAGAAAATATCTGAGCAAACAAAGAAAAGTCTGAGAAGGAAGGGTTCTAAAGTTACAGAACTTACGGAATGTCTCTCTCTATATAAAGGGAATTTATTATGATGACTTGCAGTCTGTAGTCCAACTAACCCAGCAATAGGCAGCTGTGGATGGGAAGTCCAAAAATCTAGTAGTTGCTCAGTCTCACGAGGCTAGTTGTTTCATCTGGTCTTCTGTAGAAGTGGGATCCAACAGATGTGCTGGCAAGTAAGTTCAAGCAGGTGATAAAGAATGAATCTTCCTTCCAATGTCCTTATGTAGGCCTCCAGCAGAAGGTGTGGCCCAGGTTAAGGTGTGTACCACCACCCCTTGAGCCGGGATTTGCTTTCTCCCAGGCTGACCATGAGAGATCTCCTTGCCTTAGTCTCCTTGCCTTAGTCTCCTGGAATTAAAGGCATGTACTACCTGGCCTGGATCTAAGCTTTTAATGACCACTATACCTCAAGATCTCCATATCAAGATCCAGGTCAGAAATTTGTGTCTTCCAGCCTCAAGATCTGGATCACAGGTGTACCCTCCAATTCTGGATTGTAGTTCATTCAAGATATAGTCAAGTTGACAACCAGGAATAACCACCACAACATACATGCATGCATACACACGCGCGCGCACACACACACACACACACACACATATATATCCTAATAGAATTAAAACTAAAAATAAATGTTTATTATCAAAAGAATATTAAATAACCAGGGAGGAAGAGTAATTCTAATTTCATTTTGAATAAATGAGATCACTAAGAAATCTCTAACATTTGAGCTTATAGGTCTGTGCAGTGACTGCCATAAATGCTATCTGGGAAAGATGCTGTGTGCTACAAGGATACTGTGTGCTACAGAGATGCTGTATGTTACAGAGATGCTGTGTGCTCCAGAGATGCTATGTGCTATACAAGCTCTGTCTTATTCCAAGTATTGTCTTTTCTCTATCAACTGCTTCAACTAGGTTTTTCACTCTTTGTATTATTTAATAATATTCTGCTCAAAACATTTTCCTTTCCTCTAGAAATAATTGTATTTCTACAGCACCACAGCCTTCTTCCATCCTACATGGTGGCAGACAGCTCTGTGATAGGATGGAAGACGGAGAAGAAATTGCAAGGACCTCCTCATCCACCAACTGTGTTGTACAAGCAAAGAAACTAGGGCCAGTGGTTTAATGTGCTCCTATTACACAAGACTCAGTGACAGATCCTTAGAAGCATGGGAAGTTTCCAAATACCAATTTAGTAAAAAAAAAAAAACAAAAAACAAAAACAACAACAACAACAAAGGGGAGAGAAGCAAAAACCCAGCTTTTATATAAACCTGAGCAAGTTAACTCGGGAAGTGTGACTAGAGATGGCTTTTCATGGCATTGCAGTCCTAGAGGTGGACACAGAATGTGGGGATGAGATGTGATGTGTGTTATCTGCCAAGTTAAGCCTGAAGTTAGTTTCAGGGATGAGGCCCTTAAGAATCAAACCTGAA